CCATACAATACATGTATTTCTGTGCTTTGGAAAACAGTCGGACCAGATAAACACTTCCAGCGGGCGTTTTGCTTGGTCACATTTGCCTACTCCCTTCCCAACTGTGTTTTTTTTTTTTTTGCGGATCCTCCCAGACTTTGGATAAGGAATACAACATGAGTCTACCCCCTGGCAATCCATCAGGAATTCTTGAATCCAAACAGTTTTTGTACCCCCGGTTTGGACATGATGCAGTTTGTAGTAGTGAAAGTAATTTAATATTTAAAACGCCACAAACTCCAATTCACTAGCATTCAAGCTAGAGCTAGCTAGCATCCATCCATTTTCTTCCCCGTAATCCATTTCTGGGTTGGGGGGAGAGCTGCACCCAATTCACAGAGCATCCCCCCCCCCCCCCTCACTGATCCTCCTGCAGGTGCTGAGTCCACAGCTGATCTGTCACAGAGGACACAGCCTCGATCTTTCAGTGGAGGCTTAAGGCAAAGTGGGGTTAAGTGTCTTGCCCATGGACACAACAGCAGCAAACATCAGTAGGAATCGATGGAGAAGGTCTCTTGTGGGGATTGAACCCACAACCTGCAGGCTCAAAGACCAGTCGCCCCTAGAGCTAGCTCCCACGGGTAAATTGTCTCGACCACAGAGCTTATATAGTCTGTTTGAACATAGTATAAAACATGCAGGTAAAAGTAATGAGTCATTCAAATATCAGACATTTCTAATTCACTTCTATTATACTGTCCCAACCACATCTGAGTGGGTGGGCCTGGAAGTGATAATCTATTTCAGCAACCCACTAATGTGCCACTGCTTGTTACGTGAACAAGCTTTAGTCAATTCACTGGGATGTACTGGTTTAAATGAAGGATTCCCAGGTCCTTTCACTTTTATTGGGTCATATTCTTGAAGTAACACTGTTGAGTTTCAAGCCTCACCACCACTTAGACCTTGTGATCCTCTAAAGCAGCTATCCGCCTCAAGTGCCGGATTCCAATTTCATTTTACGTCATGTCAAGAGCACCAAGACTCACAGTCACAGAATCCCTGGCTTTAGATTTGGTCTGATCCGTTGAGAAAGGCGAACGCTATAAGTCTGTAGGCTTTACTGTGCGTCTTGAGCCTCCAATGTTCTAATAGAGAAACTTCATACTCATTTTGCTTTTGAGAATAAGCCGTTCATGGTAATTTAAGCTTTTACAGGCAATGAGTTAGACCCACCATTTTGAGAATGTTTGTATGATTTTGTTTTTGCTGTGTCTTCAATCGGATCAATAATCTTTTGAATGTTGTTCATAATTGTTATTTATTCATGTCTGATAGAATCGGGAACATAACGTCAGTAAACATCAGAGCGGAGTCCAGTGCACGTAATCCCATCTAAAATCATAACTCATGACAAACTAGTCTCAAACTGACCCGAGGTTAAGAAATCAAATGTCAAGCACACAAGACAGTAGCCAAAGAAAATGCAATAAAAACTGTTACATCAAAACATTTTCTCCAGACAATCACCAATCTTAAAACCGTAAATATCATGTTCATTAAAAAGTTTCCTAACAAAGTTGATTTGTGTTCAAGCAGCAATACAGTAAGTGAATGGAATTAACCCTGGTTTAGCAATTCAACAACCAAAAACTTGATCGCCTGACATGCCTGATGAACCCTGTGTCTTGTCAAATGGAAATGAAAGCCCTCAGTCATCTCAGGACACTTCCTCCTCCAAAAACCATGTGCCTGTTGTCACTCCCCTCTGCACATATATTATTGAGCATGTGAAATGTTACTGTTTAAATGACCACTATTTGTCTGCATAGTTAGATAGATATGTTTAATGTTACTTTTTTATTACAGGTCCAAATCAACACAGACAAAAAAACAGACAATATTCATTTCTTTCATTTCTTATCTTATACAGTATGAACTTGTGTATATGTACTTACACATCGTTCATTGTGAAATACAATAAACTGGCCTGAGACCAAGAATATAAAACTGAAATGTATGTTTGTAGTTGTTAGCATTACATAAGTATTTGATTAAAAAGAGGGTAAAGAGATTGTGAACTTAACAAGTCTGATATTGTGGTTCATCTGACCGAGAAACAAGATGCAAGACTCACTCACGGAAAGCTTTGTGTTGCTGATACTTTTATCTTCAAAGATTTTCAGTGTGAATCAGTGTTATTATTGTTTTTTAAATACTGACGTGAACAACAAGAAGAAATGTTTCAGTCATGAGCTTGAACGAGAAATGCAGACGCCATAAATACGGGATTCAGTGACGAGATGCTCTGGGTCATCTCAGTATGCAACTACCGGATTTGCAAAAATAAGTTTATTTTTGTTTTGTCATTGTGTATGGCTATCCCCATGGCATGACACAGGCCACTTCTACAAAGTTGTGTATCATCACTAATGGGTAACAACAAACATACATGCACAGACTATAGATTCATTAACTAAGCGGTGCGAGAGCTGGAAAATCTTCTTAACACAAAGAAAAAACAAACCTTCTGTAACTTAAATGAGTTACAGTAATACAGTAGAGACTACAGTAACTGACAAATTGCGACAACAAAGCCGTGCACATCGTCAGTCTCAGTGGTGTCGCCTGCTTGTTTTCATGAAGAGTTTATTGCCATATTGTATTGTAGAACATTCCAGGCAGAGAAATGTGGACAAACAGGATTGGTGGAACTCTCCTCAGATGATTCAAAGTTAGGGTAACCACAAACTAGACCTGGTTTTCAAAGTAGTGCCCACTCATTACTTCTAATAACGTTTACACATAAAGTCAAAGGGTTTTCCGTTTTGACCGTTTCTCTCCTCATTTGGCCTCGGGGTAATGTCCTTTCAGGATTTTGCTGGAGGTGTTTCGTGTTATTTCGAAGCACATTTTGCCGCTGACATGAAACAGCAGACGGAACACTTCTCTGGTCTATTAGCATTCCCTAGCACGCTGCAGTGTTTACCAATGCGGGGCAAATATGTTTTATACAGAAGCAAAGCCGGGCCTAAAAAGGAGCTGAGGATCCATTTGAGGACGCTGCGAGGAGGATAACTAGCAGTGTGGGTATGCATAGACTAAATGTGCTTGTGGCAGAAGTCCAGCGCGGAAGAGAATTCAATGTCGCATAAAGCATGTGAGAATTAGAAGTGTCTAGTGTTGCAGACTCACCCTAGGGCTGTAGTGAGGCCTGAGGCATGTGGCAACCAGTCCAACCTGCAAACCAAGTCAAAATGACAAAAGTCTCTGATTATTGGGTTGTAAATCTATTTGGTGGTTTGATGGTTTGACCGCCTTTTCCAAAAAAAACATATTTATTGTATTTATCTAAGATTTGAATCTAAATCTTTATCCTGGGTTTGCCTACTTTTGAAATGCTGGTGAAGTTTATTATGTTGCTTCCTGTTTGGACATGGCAGCAGATATGACATACCGTAGCAAGCACAAAGTAAACAATGGTCAAAACTCATCTTCTGTCCACAGGGATTATAAAATGACTATTAGGAATGACCTAGAACACGGACATCTTGTTTGATGAATGTTTAAATTCTATCCAATTCAATACTTTAATTCGGACACAAGAGTAAAATGTCCATACCAGAAGACATACAAAAAACACCTTTAAATGGTCAGATGATAGATTTCTGTATGCGCTATTTGTCTTTGAATGTTGTGTAGAGTTAGACCCACCATTTTGAGAATAGACATGTTTTTAATGATTATTTTTTGGCTGTGTCTTCAATCGGATCAATAATCTTTTGAATGTTGTTCATAATTGTTATTTATTCATGCTTGATAGAATCGGGAACATAGGGTGAAGGGATTTCATTTTAGAACGCAGCAGAGATGAATTCTTACTTGCATACATATTACTTCCAGATTCTCTAAACTAAACTGTCTCCTGATTGATAAAAGATCATGAATCTTTTATGTAAAATGTTGTGAACAAATTGGACCACAAAATGCTGTCTTCATCTTATTAGAAATTATGTTTTCTTTTAAATACTGAAAGCCTATCAGCTTGTTGCTGGTACTTTTTTTCTTGAAAAAGCTGATCTAAAGATGAGTCCATAAAAACATGCATCTAAAAGTAGATCCAAAAGTTGTAACTTTGGAACATTTTTGAGAACCTCGTTTCATGGATGTTATTACATAGTTAATGATTTGTGTTTTCAAAATTAGCTACACCAGCTTTAAATATTTTATTTCTGTTCTGCCCCCAAACTTGGCCGAAATATATTTTCATTTATATTAGAAAAACACATTTTTGAGTGGAGTTTGCATGTTCTCTCCATGCCTGTGTAGATTTTCCCTGGGTGCTACAGTTTCTCCTATAAAAGTATGTTCAATGGGAGTTGAGATGAAAAGCTTCACCATTATAGCAGTAACTCCATCCATCCATCCATTTTCTACCCTTTAATCCATTTCTGGGTCAGGGGGGTGGCAATCAGAGATGCCACCCAAGTCTCATAGCACCAGCCCCTCACTGACCCTCTGCAGGTGGTGAGTCCACAGGAGGACGGCTGCTCTCTGAGTGTGAGCATAGCCTTGATCTTTCAGTGGGGGCTTTATAGCAGTAACTGTTCATGAGTATACACTGTCACATTTCAGATTAACAAATGTGATTGACTAATTTACTAGGAGCAGCAGGGAACTGGAAATCCCTGCTGACAGATCAATTATCACCACCTTTGTGTCTCATGTACAATTAATGTGGTAGTAGTTGTTTAGGAGATACATTACATACATGTTTTAAATATAATGAACAGAAAAATGTTCTTCAGTGGCTTTGAATGACGCATTTTTGTGCATATTATGAAAGTGAAATCATATTTGAGGGATTCCATCATCCTTAACTGTAGGAAATATTTAATACATAGACGCGCATTAACAAGAATTCTTGCTGGTATCAGAGAAAGCCTTCGTGGCTCATAATACCACACCTGCTATCTCGTTCACATTGTCCTGTGATCCATCTAAATCTCAGCGACAAACCACTACACCAGCTCTCCACAGGTCCTGGATGTCAAGGGATTTCAGACATAGATCCAGTTTCACTATAGAACAGAACCAGCAGGCAGGAGAATAACTTTTCTTCACTTTTACACTGTGTCCTGATGACCAAAGCAGACCACAAACCAGAAAATCAATGTTCTATTTGGACATTTCTTGAGTATTTGCAGCTCCTTGCATTCATATTGTACAAAGGACTTTGTGTAAAACTATTCTTGAGTGCAGTCATACAAACATCAGTATTGCATCATAGCCAATTAGCTAAAAGATAAATGAAAAACAGACTTATTTACTTTTGCTGTTGTTTTGTTGCTAATTAACTTTGAATGGTGTAGTTTATAATGAAGCGTTTAATTGAAAATCATATAAAGGGCCCCACAAGACTGTGTAAAAAAATAGCCCAGGGGATTCTTAAAAAGGAAGAACAATACTCTGGTTGTTTTGGGCAAGTCCAGCTTCTTTTCAGCTCAGAGGAAGAAACAAAATGTGCATCTGATCAGTATGCTGATCATGGACGCAGACCGCATGTCCTGTTGCGTGCAAACAAAAAGGAAAGCATTGCATTTCCTAGTTCTGTGCAGACACTCTTCAAACGTGTTGCTCTTCCTCATAGACGATTATTGCAATCTGTAAAAGCAGCAATAAGACAGATTATCCTTTCAGATCCTCATTCGCACTTTGTGAAATGTCTTAACTTCCACTATTTTTCTAGTGGCAAGCATGACAACCAATGACTGATCTATACTGCCTACCCGTGGACAAATGAGGAACTGCAGGAGTGACGAGAGAGAGAAAAGCTCTACGTCTCCCTCTTGTAGTGTAATTGTGGCATAGCCTGTAAATATAAATGAAACATCTTGATTAGGTATTAAAAGTGGAGTACCCACATTTTTGGTTCATAAATATATTTTTGTCCCAACAGAAAGGATTTTAGTAACATTTTGTGAATAAATCAGGCCACAATATGCAGTCTCTATCTTAGTAGAAATTGTTTTATCTTTTACATACTGAGAACGGAGTAGCTCAGCCCTCTCTCAGCCAAATATCTGACAAAAAACACAGTTTGAATCTATCTAGATGGACTTTTATCACACTGGTTAATGGTTTATATATCTATTTGTGCTCTTACAACTTGTCTGCGCCTTGAGCCAAAGCAAATTCCTAGTTTGTGACTTCCTGTTACTTAATGTACAATGTCAAAAAAACAATTAAGATTCTGATTCTTGTTATACATATAGTTAGAATCAGACTATAGTTGATCTTTACATATTTTTTAATAAAAGCCTTTTAGTTGATGCACAGGTTTACATATAAAATGACATATAATTTTCTCCTTTTTACAATAACATACAATGCATTTACAACATTTCAAGATGCGAGTAAAGCATAATTTTCACAGTAAGTGCTTTTGGTGTTGTTAGTCATAATGTAAAGAAGTGCTTGTCAGGATCAGTTGCTCTCGATTGGTGCATGACTAACGTTTCCAGGTTCTCTGGATCCGTTTCTGCAGTTTGTTCATTGTCCACTTGAATTTCCTCAAAACTGTCTTCATTCTTAATAGAAACTTGAGGAGATACACTGCCCTCGTTGTGGAGAGAGCCCTGTATATTTTCAAGACTTAATTCTTTGCTGTTGATTGTGTGATTAACTTTTCTTTGTGCAGGGAGGCAGGTTAGTGCGGCGTTGTCCGGCTCCTTAGTCCAGTCTGTCGTTTGCACTGTGTCCATTGAACTGCTTGGGTCAGTAAAGTCTTCTCTAGCCGTATTAAAGGACTCCATTACATTATTGCTCTCACTCTGGGAATGACTCGACGTCCAATCATGACCAGTGACTCCCGTACTATCTGCACTGGGCTCATTCATTTCGTTATTCACAGCATTTCCATAAATAGTTTCCACATTGGAGGTTTGTGAGTTTGCATTGGTTACACAACTCCTTGGTGAACTGATAATGTCTTCTCCCGACCGCTCTGGATGTCCCAAACCAGAATCCTTTTCCTCCCTTTGACCACACTCTCCATTGTCCAAATGTTTGCCTTCCGCTCCAGCAGCAGCAGCAGCGGCGGCCCCTCCCAGGACCCTCTTCAGACTCTGGGCCCTCTCTCTGTAGGCTTGACACAGCTGATTGTTTGGCATGTGGTATCCGTATATTTCAGCCAACTTCATGTAAACGACATACAAAGCCTCGGGGTTAGCCGGGTCCTCCAGGGCAGCGGCCAGGGCCAAGTGGAAGTAGCCCACTGCATCAAAGGCATCCTGGGAAATGTGTGCAAAAACAAATGTCTGTGAGATAACAGAACATCTATAATAGTAAACTATGCTGAACGGGTCACGGGAGAGGAAAGATTTCAAGTTTGAATTTAAAATATTTCTGCATTTAATTTAACTTTTTTCCTCTTACTTTTGCACTGTCCTTTTATTATAATTGATCATAGGTGCCGTTGGAAATAATTTCTGCTTACAAACACGGCCAACAGCTCGTGGCAGATACGATTTTAAAGGGTGTAGTATTTCTAAAAAATTATACAAAGAGTCTTGTAGAAGTAACATTTTGTGAACAAACCAGACATTTATCTTTCAAAAACGTTTTATCTTTTTGCATACATGTGAGAAAGAGCCCTGCATTCTTTTTTGCATACATGTGAGAAAGAGCTGAAAAAGCTGATCTTAAGCTGTGATAGAGGTCAGAGGAAAACTGGTGACGGAACCAAATTCTTTTGAAAGCGTTACTGTATATGGATTTCATCACATAGTTAGGGCTTTAAAAGTTAGGCACCACAGCTTTAAAATCATTACCTAAAAGTGCTAACCATAATGGTCCTACAGTGACATTAAACTATACCTTAACCTTTAACCAATATGTTACTAAAGGTCTTACACAGAGGTAGACTGTGTTTAAAGATGTGTGGCAGGATGAGGTGAAGGATGATGTGTTTTGTGGAGAGTGCTGTCAGACAGTTACCTTTAGCTTGTACAGAGTGAGGTTTCCCAGCCTGCAGTAGACTTTGGTGTAATATTGCGCCTCCAGGGGGTGTTCTATGAAGGGAGGACAGAACGACAGCGCCTTGAGGTAGTAGTTTTCTGCCATCTCGAACTGCTCCAGTCTGTAGTAGACTGTGGCCAGGCGGTTGTAGGTAGTCCACTCATTCAAATGTACACCTGAAAATAGAATAGCAAAATTATAAATAATATATTCAGATTTCAGAAAGAATTGGCTTTGGTTTTGGCAGCTGAGGATGTATTTAGGATTTGATTTGAAAGTCAGACGCACCGGTTTTTCCTGCAACCTCAACAGCCAGCGTTGCGTACTGCAGGGCCTCCTCCCATTCTCTGTGGTCCATTAACAAATCAGTCAGCTTGCTCAACAAACGAAACTCCGAGTAAGAATCTCCGATGCAGCGTGCAAAGGGCAAGCCACCATCCTGAAAACAAAAACAAACCAAAGAAATGTGTTTTAGAAAATAGTTTTGCGACATATCAACAGCACGTTTGATCATCTCACTCTATAAAAAGGCAATGAGGCCATTCGATTCCTATGGCCTTTGAAGTAAACATCCCCCGCCTCTTCGTAAATGCTCATCGTGAAGTAGGGGTCGTTCATTCTCAGTGCAGTTTTCACAGCAGCCTATTTGATACATAGAAACATTATTTAACCAATAATATCCTTACGAATTCACTTTCCGTACCTGTAAATACATGTCGGCTAGTTCGTCCTCTGAAATAAGGTAATAAATGCGTCCCACTTGAAGCCAGGTCTCGGACTCCTCCTCCCTTTTGCCCAGATCAATAGATATTCTGAGGCTTTGTTTTGTGTAGTCCAGAGATTTTCGAGATGATCTGAAACACAAGCAACCCTTATAATAACTGTGTTGGGGGCGAGATAAAAATAAGTCAAAAATTGCTCAAAATTGGAAAAGAAATCTTAATTTGACATATTTTCACTGCCTTAAAACAAGATTTGCCATTGGGACAAGCAACAGTTCTTGAAATAAGGCAAAACGGCTTAGTCTCATCGGCAAATCTAGTTTGAACACCGTCAATGTGCCCAAATTAAGACAAAACCACTAAACTCGAGCATGTATTATCTCATCGTTTATCATTTTGTGCAGTGTAGATCAACAGATAATCACATACTTCTCCGTGTTGAGTGAGAGATAGAGACTGCTGAGTATTTCCAGATATTCCCCCTCCAGTCTTTTGTCCTTCAGCTCTCTGGACACCGAGGCGCAGTGCTCGTAGTAAACAATGCTCTGACCGTACAACAGCAGGTCAGCGTACAGCCGACTGAGGACTTTGGCCACCACCATCTGACCTGGAGTAGGAAGATGAAAACAAAATGTAGCTAAAAGTTACTTAAATTGGGTAAATAAAAATGTCTTTATTTTAGTAAATGTTGTGATTTTAGTTACTGTCATGTTGTCTCACAAAAATGTTTTCTTGTTCCAAATGAAAATGCTGTTTTCAGACTGACAAAATGTACTTCCATCTTTTTACGTTTAACTGTTAGCACGCCCCGAGTGATCTTATCGAAGCCAAATGTAACATGTACATTTCTCCATTGTGAAATGATCTTATCTTGAATTTTTTTTGCAGCGTACATTTACAAACTAACACAACAAACACATACAAAGCCAGTGTTTACTATTACATACAACTGATGGGATGGCAAGAAAACAAAACTCTTACAGAAAACATCATCATTTCCTTTTGTATAATATAAGAATTAGAGAACAGAACACCTTCACATCCTTACATCAGCCAATAGATCAGAAACCGATTATAATTATGACGTACTGTGCAGGTTCTTGGCATGGAGTGCAATAAGTAATCCCATTTCATAACACTTCCGGATATCCTGACTCCGCCTCCTGTCCTTGTAGCTCCGCCCCAGCCACAGGTATGTCTGAACGTGCTCTTCGGCCGTCGGGCTCTCCCACAGCTCCATGAACAGCTGCAGAGATCTGGGGCAAAAAAATATATTACATCACATTGATTTTCTCATAGCTTTTGGCAAGTACGCATGTTATAACAGAGCACAATATGAAATCCAAGCAATGTGTTTTGTACAGCCTAAATTCACAAGAACGACTTTGTAATCTGATAATGGAATAACATTTGTTTTTTTATTAAAAACAGTTTCAAGCTGGGGTACTCATCTTTCAAAGAACTAAAATATTCATATCCCATGCTTATATTTTTTGGCCTATGTCACATCTGCAGATCAGATTTGTCATACAGAAAAGTGAACTGACTCAACCAATCAACTCAAAACTCACATGAAATAACTTTGAAAAGAAGATGAAGATGTCGTGATCCATTTTAGTCACAACATTTTACTTTCATAGGATTTTGTCAGGAAAAACTATATGCTTATATGAACAAAAAAAATGTAGGTACCCTGGTTGTAACTAATATTGATGAAAATGAAGAAAATGGGTAAATGTCTAAAGCGCCACTGTCCTTAGGCTCTCAATCTTTGACAATATAAAACTCAAAACATTTCTCAAGTCAAGGATTAAAAAAAACTACACAAACATTTGAACAATTGCATAATTTAAAGCGCCGTCTATATCTGTGGTGATAAAACGTACTTGAACAGTACGAGTTCTGCCACAGACGCTGCCCCCACGTCGATGGCCAGACAGCCCAGGTTGGCGAGGGCCAGAGCCTGGTTCCTCTGGTTGCCGCTCTCTCTGGAGATGACCAGAGCCGACTGCAGGTGACCACGCGCCTCGGACACTCGCCGCTGCTTCCTCAGAGACAGAGCCAGCAGGTTGTGGATGACCCCTCTCTGAGTGGGACTGTCTGTGCACTGAACAGGGGAATGCAGGCATGAGCAGGAGAAGGTTTACTAATTTATTTTCAAAAAGGAAACAGATATGTAGTTTTCTTAATATTTTATTTTACTCATTTTTACGGCATGTTCAAACAATATGCCACAAGGAACTTTATGACAAGTTTTTACATTACATTTGATTATAGGGCCTTGAGGATACACTATTTTGAAACATTTAATTTACTGAATTGTAGAAGTGGGAATTATGTTCGTTCATAGAAAAAAATAATATCCCAGTTATTACATTTTACTTCAAAACAACAAGTATATGTGGTATACCAGGGGTGGCCAACACAAGGCTCACGAGCTCTTGGCCAATCCTAATGTGGCTCTTTGCCTCTTATCAGGTTTCATGGAGAGGAAAAGTATCCATTATTATAACACGCTTGCATGCTTTATTCTCATTTTCTCTGACCATTATGTGCGGATGAATTATGGGCAGCGTCAGATCAGAGACGAGGTCAGTCAGTGAGTTTGTCTAATGGATCTGAAGGTTTGTCTTTACAGAAGATCTTCATTTTTAAATGGGAGGCGTTTTTTATTAGCTTTTTTCAATAGGCCTCATATTTCTCCGTGAAAATGAGGCAGATGTTTGTCAAATAGAAAAACTTTTGTAGCTTGAAGCCATTATACAGTTATACAACACTGTGTGGCTTAGATAAAACCCACGAAGCCCTGAAACTTAAAATGACTAATAAGAAAGAACAATACACAAATTAAAGAGAAACAAGGACAAACAATGTGAGGACGTTATGTTATGTACGTTATAGTCAATATTGCCAACCCCTTTTGTGATGTTAATTTCAGACTTCATACAAAGTCCTGTACACCAATATCATGTTTATTTTCATATAGTAAAACGTAATCCAAATTGTTGTGACGTGCATTACCTGTAGTGACGTTAGCAGCGGCTGGAGGATGGCCTGGGCCTTGTCTGCTTGTCCGGTCAAAACCAGGAGCCACCCGTAGAGCACAGACGCCTCGAAGCTCTCCTCCTCGTTGATGTGTCCCCCCGTGTCCACCGCCTGTTGCGCACATCGCACCGCTTTCTCCAGCGCTCCATACTGCTGGTACAGGAAGGCCAGCCCCAAACACAGGTCCCTCTGCGTGTTCAGCTCTGCCTCTTTTTCTGCAATGGCCAAAGCTTGCTGCAGGTAAACTACTATCTGGGCCGGGAGTAAAGACGTTCCTTCTCTCCAGCACGGATTTAATCTCACAGAGTTCTTAATAAATAATTCAATCTTCTGAAAAGCATCTTGAAGGGAGTGGTCACGCCTCGAGTCCAAGCTAACCGACGCCAGTGCTAGATAAGGCATGTATTTGCGGTGATAGAGTCCGCTAAGGAGCCAGTTCAAGTCTACAGGAGCGACAGGCTGGTTTTCACTGTTAGATAAAGTCACGGAAAGAAATTGCAATCGCTCCACAAATGGTAATGCGTCGTCGGCCTTCCGCAAAGACAAGAAAAGGTGGGAGGTGAGGTAGCAGACGCGAGCTTCGAGATGTTTATCCCCCAGGAAGACGGACCGCCGCAGCAGAAGGTTTAGAAGCTCAAGCTCGTCGCTGGTGGTGTAGCTGTGGCAGGGGAGGCACAGGAGCAGAGCACAGGCCTTCTCCAGAGTGAAGGGAAGTTTGTCCGTCATTTTCTGCTTCAGATAAATGGCAGTGAGGTTTGTGACAAGAGCGGTGAAGAGAGGAGTGTCACTGAAACTGTCCGCGCGAACACTCAGGGCTTCTTCATAGTAAACACGAGCCTGAGGGGAGAAAAAGGAGGTTAGTAAAAAACATACTTGTCAGAATCTTATTTCATGCTTGGGGGATAATTGGCTGAGTGAGGATGGTCCTTTCGTTTACACTTTTCTGTCTGAAAAATCTGAACTCAAGATGGGACAGAGGCCTAAAATATATACATGTCAAAGCTAGTGATGGTATTTTTTTTTATTTTTTTTTTAGAGCTGAAAGAGATGACTTTAATTGCAAACTCAAATAAATCAAAGTTAGGTATTCCAGCTTTACTTACTTCTGTAGAAGATTCAAAACAAATAGTAATATCTTTTTTTGCTCAGAAGCATTTTCATGATCAAACACCCCAGAATGGATGGATGGCTTTTTGTTACAAACTCTTCTCCTTCTGAAAGTGAGCTCTGAGCACAGACCTGGGAGAGCTTGAGCTTCTTGGCGCAGAGTCGTCCCAGGAGGTAACAGGAGCGTCGATGGGCCCAGTGCATTCCCATTCTCTTGGCACACTCCCTCACGCTCTCCAAATGCACAGACAGCTCCTCCTCCGTTTTACCTCCAAATGTAACCCACAGGAAAGAATACTGCATGTCGTAGAGAGGAAGGAAGTCGTCCTGGAGAAAAAAAAAAGACCACAGTACTCATGAGAGGCCTGTTCGAAACATCAGGCTCCATCTTCTGTTTTTCTCTTCTGCCAGCGTGAAGTTTCTTGAGTTCAGTCAGGTCTGAGAGAGAACTTATCTTTTAGCATCTAACTTTTGTATTATTGGGAAGGGGGTATACCGTATTTAACAAGGGTTTGTGTGTTTGCAAAATTAATAGCACCCTTTAACGAGAGACAGAGTGCGGATGATTTGTGGAGGTTTAACAAATCTCTTCCACAATCTTGGAAAGTTTGGAGCTCAATTCCTTAAATGGGAATGTGGGGCGTGGTCCTCGTCATGGAAGGGGCAGATGCACACAAACAAGTCGCTAAGGCAAGCTAAAGTTGACCTTGGTAAATGAAGGCATCTGATTGGAAGCCAGAATGATTGACCAATGATGTTATTAAGCTTAAAACACCAGGATCATAGAGAGCGCTAAGGTCCAAATGGTGAGTAAGTAAGTTTTCTTTATTTATATAGTGCCTTTCACAGACCAGTCACAAAGTGCTTTACAATTGCTTTGGGCATTCGTTCCCTCACGCCACACAAAGACGGGAGCAGGGTCGCCACAGGGAGAACATGCAAACAGAACAACCGGGAGGTGGAGTCGAACCCAGGATTTTCTTGCTTTGAGATACAAGCTCTAACCACTGCACCATGGAGACGTAAGTGAACGGGAGTCAAAGTGAGGACCAAAACTCCACATCCTGAGCACTTCATAGAGACATTGGTTTACTATTGCCCATCTATAAACAGTCTATGCTCATAATAACCCTGTGATCCCATAACCCTGTGATCCCATAACCCTGTGATCCCATAACCCTGTGATGATCCCATAACCCTGTGATGATCCCATAACCCTGTGATGATCCCATAACCCTGTGATGATCCCATAACCCTGTGATCCCATAACCCTGTGATCCCATAACCCTGTGATGATCCCATAACCCTGTGATGATCCCATAACCCTGTGATCCCATATCCACCGGACCTGGAAGTGTGGTTGGTTGAGCAGCGTCACTGTGGGGTCACTGAGCTCTGCCTCGTCCCCGTTCCAGCTGCCCTCGTCCAGCAGCAAGAACTCATCCAGCTCCCGGAAGGTGTCCTCAGGGTGGAAGGTCAGCCGCTCGGCCTCCCGAGGCAGGCTGCTGTGGGGGCTGTGGCGGGAGGACAGGCGTGGAGAAGCCTGGGACACAGAGTTACGGGGGGAAAAAGGAGGAGTCCCGCCACTTCTCTCCGACATCAGGCTCTGACGGGTGCTGGACGACACCTTGTATTCTGCAAAAGGATTGACAAAATTCAATTTCACATTATTTGTATTATTGAATTAAATCAAAATATAAGTTTATAAACATTTCTCTCTGGATTAATTTTGAAACATTTTGAAACATTTGCTGCATTTTGAAAAGTTAATTTTCCATTTCGATTATGCCTTATGACTATTGTTATTTGCACTGGAAATTCTCAAATATTTTGTTAGGAAATTTTAGGAACTGTTAGGAATTTTGTTCTATCTTTGTAACAATGTGTCAGAAAGTTGCTGGAGATTACAACTACAGGTACTTCTCAGTTTTACTTATAATCTTCATCATTGTATGTTTTGGAGTGCAGACTGGTGAAGCTTTCATTTTCAAGAACCATTGTTCTGCAGATTACCATATTGGGGAACTGAAATACTCACCGTGTTTTGGAGTGTTTTTGATGTACATAAAATCAGAATCATCAAGTCTGTCTGAAAAACATCATGTGTTTTAATGAGACAAAGTAGAGTTAACATTTCAAAACCATAGTAATAGTTCAAATATGTTTTCCAAACCAATTTTTTTTATAAACGTTTAATAATACTTTTTCATCCCTTTTCCAAATCCACTTTTCTACATGACCTTGCAAAAAACACATTTGGAACAATTGATGGTGAGTAAAGTCAGTATTTTATGATTCACTGAGAAAAAGCTAATTTTCTTTTTGTTTTAATTAAGGAGTCTTTATGAAGGATACACCTGAGTCTATGTCCTGGAGCAGTGGATGGACCAGATCCCCAGTCACCCCTCCCCTACCCTCCTGGGAGTCCTCAGTCTATCCCGGATGAGCCTTGAGTGTATAAGTGGACTCTGGCTCAGGAGACTTAAACTCTATCTGCAAATGGCTGTGCATTCGTCCGGACCCATCTACAGCCTGTGTCCGGCCGTATGGGTGAATCTTTCCCTCACAGTGGTTCGCTGAAAAGATTTCTTGTTTTCTCAGTTTTTTTTCCCCTGAAAGATAGTGGGTCTAAAGGGTCATATAAAATAAAGTTTATTATCATCAATGTTAAACATAACACCAGCATCAACTCGTCCATCAGGAAATGCTTTTATAGACACAGCCCGCATCACCGCTCTAGCTATTGTAACCTTCCACATAATGTAGTGCCATCACATTACAAGGACGGGGCTTGAGAAAAGACATTCATCAAAATGTGAAAACCAAGTGAACATTGGTAAATCCGTCTGTCTTGACCAATGACTGTTTTAAGTTTCTCATCTACTCTAAAGCACCAATTTTGTGAAGTCCTTTAGAGACAGTTGTCTGATTAGACTTATTTGATTTGACTTTGGTATGCAGAGAAAGTTCAGCACATTTAATTCCAGTTGTCTATAATCTTCATAAATGTATGAGACAAAATTAATTTATAATCTTATCTAGACATTTAGCCCAATTATTGTCTTAAATTCCAAAACCTTTCCAGGCTGTGATGAGTATGCAGCATGTGACAACGTCAAATTGACAAAGTCTTATCCATGTGAATGTGTGTGTTGTACCGAGCCTGTAGACTGCGCTGATGTCTGAGGAGAAGAGCTTGTCCAGCAGCCCACTGTCACACGGCTCGATGCTGCACGGTTTAACCTGGGCCAGACCACAGCGCTCCTCCTCCGTCAGAAACAGCAGTTGTCTGTCCCTGCACCAGCAAACAAAGACAGTATTATCTGCGCTGCTGTTTTCAAACTCTGCTTTCACCAGTCCATTGTGTCACACGCTCAATGTGATTTCATAGAACATTAGATGAAGATTACTATCGTGGTAAATATTTAGCGTTTACTGCATTAGAAGGATTATGGAAATACGTGGAAATAATCAGAGTGGTAAGCCATTTAAGTTTAATCTTGATGTCCTTACGCAATAAAAATATTTACGCAACAACACATAGCTGGAGACTAGCCCTGCTTAACTTGATCCAGAAATCTGATACAGCCCATATGAAAATAAAAGCAATTTTCTTTAATTACTGATTTAGTACTGCTTTAGAATCAGAATCATTTTTATTGCCACATAAGTAACAGGAAGTCACATACTTGGAAATTGCTTTGGCTCAGTGCAACAGTCAGAAAGAGAGGTAAAGGGTAGATAAGGCATAATAAAAAATAAAAAATAAAAAGCACTTCAAAAGGAATACATTTTAAATAGAATTATTACGATTACTTTAGGTTTGCCCAGTTGGTTAAGTCCACTATTTGGGTTGACTAACAACTTGTATAAGGTTAGTCCTAATCATGTCCTTGTTCAGGCTCAGGTTCAGACTTGTACATTACTTTTTATTATGGATTTGGGTCAAACGTGTAGAAGTCATAAAGTGCAATTTTTCAAACCTAAAGACCTAAGTAGAAAATCTGTGTTTATAGACACTGGTGCATCTTCTATTTTGAATCACCAAATTGATAAAAAACTATCATCTCAAAAATAATTGTATAGTCTTGGAGCAGAGGTACTTACAAAGGTGTGGTATTGAGAGGCTTGACATTGGTCTGATGGACAAAGCCTGTGTTCCCAGTGGATGTGTGTTTCCCAATGAAAACCGCCAGGCCCCGGAGGAGAAGACCCTGGATCTCAATGATGTCACCTTGATTTAACTGCAGCTCATCCGGAGTCTGGGGGCTGTAGTCTGCCACTGCTACACACGAACCAGTAACTAAGGAAGAGATGTGTACATGCATATTAAAAAAACAATTTATCTTGACAGCATTGGACTCAGACTAGGCTTTTTAAAAGGAGTGTTCCAAACATGTTAGTATTGATTTGATGAGAAGACGAGACCATTGCCTTTTTTGCATTCGCTGACTCAGAAGCACAAGCCCAGGGAACAACAATATAGATAAGATATGAAACTTGAACAAAATATACACACCTGACATACTTTTTGTCTTCTGTCAGGATTAGGGGATTCTTTGGGGTACAACTTTCAACTATACATTTCTTTTGAATCTTTACCAGGATAAAGTCACACTGCGATTTTAGAATTCCTTTTCGCAGGGGAGTTGTGGTCCCACTGGAAAGCCTATTGTACATTTTAGTGACTGGGGAATTCGGAGCACCCAGAGGAAACCTACACAGACATAGGGAGAACATGCAAACTGCACTCAAAAAGGCCCTGTTCCGAGCAAGAGTCAAACCTTGGACTACCTTGATGAGAAGCAAAAGCGCTAACCACCCAACCACAAAATACTGTTTTGTTTGAAATTTGACATCCTTTGGTAAGTATGGGGGAACTAAGCTTATAAATGACACATGTAGTGTTAATAAACAAAGACAACACAAAGACACTGCTGAAGTCTATATGGTCCAAGGCATACATCTGGTAAGACAAAGTTTTGTGGTTGTAGAAATGTATGTTGATTTTATTTTTTTATTTTTTTGCACTGAGAGCCAAAGCAATTTCCTAGTTAGTGACTTCTTGTTACTTACATGGCTATAAACAAAAATCTGATTCTGATTCTGATACTATAGACACACACATCACCTTAAACTTGGCTCTCAGCATTTCACTCTTGGTGTGTATGGATTTGTCTAAGTAATACATTGACTTTTTACCAATAGGATGTTGAAATCGTTCCTTCCCTGTTGGGGCATATCCAGCGTGGCCTGGGTACTTCCTGAGGAACCACCTGGGCACACAGGAAGTAGACTAAAACACTATGCAACATTATGTAAAGTGCTGACTATATTCACACATTTAAGTGGTGGATGCAGTAGTGGGGGACACTCACTGATAGAAGGGGTACGGCAGCGGCTGCATGGTGCTGACCGGCACCAGGCCATGGGCTCCTGTGGACAGCATGGAGCCCTCCCACATGTCCTCCTGCCCAGTGTCCCGCACCAGCAGCAGCTCATTCTTATTGAACACAAGCTGGTCTTCATCATCCTCGTTTACGTCGTTTCTTGTGAATAAGGCTTTGGCAAAGAACGACCCTGACGGAAAGAGGACAGCAGATAAACAACACGACAGAATTGAATGATGTGCTGTGATTTGTCCCAATTGAATTAAGTCTCAATACAATTCTCAGCAGTTTAGTGGATGTCTCCATAAAAATGTCAAAAGAAGAACATTCTTCAATTAGGTGAAATTTGTTTGATGAATACTATACTTAAATATTAATCAAGTAAATGTTCTTTGTTGTACAAGATTTTAACGACGTGCAAGATAAACAAACCAATCAAATCCATATGTGAACCCAAAGAGGACACCTCTCTTAGTCTTATTTCTTTATTAATCTCTTAATCTCAATCTTAACTATTCCTTTATTTTCAGTTGGGGTTTGATTTAATTTTGCCTGTTGAAATGATTCTCATGTGCCATATTTTTTTTTTTTTTCACTTGAGCACATTCATCCGCTTGAGACAAAGCAAAGCCCCGGGGAGAAGGTTGCCTGCCTCCTCTGTACCCTCTGCTGAATGTGAGTCAGGTGCATGAAAATAAAATGGAACTGACCTGCCCTGAAATGCTCTGTTTAGTCTGCTGGTCATTTGGTATATTCATTATGGTGCTGAAACAATTCCTTCCCAATTGTAGTATGTTTAGAATCTAGACCTTTTTAACACCTTTCCTTGTTACAATTTAGTAACAAATTGTGCATTTTGGTATTTCATTTGCTGATCTTGCAATAAGGAGTATTATGCAAAAGTCAATTCCACACTTCCGGTGAGTCCAAACATAACACCCACAGTGCTTTAGTTGATAAAAGCCAGTGCACTTAAGTTAAGGATCAGCAAAACTGCTCCTTTCCTGCAGCAGCCCCACTCCATCACTGCCAAATGATACATGTTTTATAGTCTCCCATTTACTTAAAGTAATTCTCACTCAATATCTGCTGGCAATGCAAAAATGCATGCAAGAATAGTATACATTTATTGTAAGTCCATTGGGAAATAAACACAATTTAGAGACCAAGAGGACTAAGATGTAAAAGTTGCATATCCCCAAGATGTGCATTGGTGTTAATTAGCGTTGGCATAAATGCTTTAAAATTGTTGTTTGTAAAATTGGTTTCGTTTGTAATGCAAAAGCTAATGAACTGAGAAGCATATAAAATGTATCATAAAAAAAAAAAAAAAAAAATTGAGTAATGATATTTTTTAACGTAAATGCTAAATGCAATTATTCAAGATGGGTGTACCTTCTTGAAGCAGAAGTCCTAAATAAAGAGTGGCCAGGTGTTCTTCATCCACAGTGACGTTTATCTCCAAATCACTCAGGAGCTCCGGGTCCAACCAAAACGACTGATCACACAAGAAGTTCTCCAAGCAGCGAGCCACAAATCCTGCAACAGAACAGTGCAGCTTCCAAAATGAAATCCATTCATTCATTCATTTTCTTCCCCTTAATCCATTTCTGGGTCGTGGGGGTGGCAGTCAGAGCTGCACCCAGTACACAGAGCACCAGCCCCTCACTGATCCTCCTGCAGGTGGTGAGTCCACAGGAGCTGAGATCTTTCAGTGGGGGCTTCAGGCAAAGTGGGGTTAAGTGTCTTGCCCAAGGACATCAGTCATCAGTGGGAGTCGTGAAGTAGGTCTTACGGTGGGCTCGAACCCACAACCTTCAGGCTCAAAGGCCAATGCTCTACCAACTGAGCTACTGTCGCCCCCAAAATGAAATCAAAGGATGTAAATATTGAAATCTACCGAGATTTACCTAATGCGAGGTAGGTCGAGAACTTCCAGATTTCCTCCACAGTTTTGAAGGTGAGCACAAAGCAGTCTTTCTCAGCGTGGACGGAGACCAGACGAGCAGACAGGTCCTACACAACACGATGTACTTCCGACATTATCAAAGTTGTTATTGCACAGATGTGCAATTCAGAACCACATGTGTCCACTGTCACTTTGTCCCATACCCTCATGCTGCTAACGTGTACAAATGTAAACACACAACTATATACTGCATCACTTGCACTTGAACACACAATACTTCCTTCTTATTATGCCAAAGGTAGAGCTATTGTTGTTCTGTAACCGGTAATACAACACTGAAATTTACCCACTGTGGTACGAATCAGGGCTCTCTTAATCTTCATCTTCAGCATAGTATCACATGGCACTTATTTATTTATTTATTTCGGATTTACCTTAAAGAGCTGAGTGACGTCCTTGCTGTTACTCTCCACCACTCTCAGCCGAGTCCGAAGTGCTTCCTGTAAGGAGCGGTCAGGTCCACTCGAACGCCTTTGTGCCGTGAAAATTAGCAAAATTTCTGGGAGAAATAAAAAAAAATGCTATTTATTAGTGAACAACAACAATGCGATTGAAATATTTCTTGGTTCACTCCTCCCACTGTCTCACATTGGATCAAACATGTGTTATTTCATCCTTAATTGATTTAATAGATTTTGTGTCGTTGTACTTTTTTCCATGTCCATCTAAAAACTTCCAAAGTCACCCAGGATCAGAAGGAATCGAATTTGCCTTTTCTTATGGTTGACTAAAATTACTTTGTTTAGTTGTGAGGTGATTGCTTCGTCGTTTTGACATGCCAGCCTGTGATGCCCAATGTGTAAGAAAACGCACGCTGGGAATTTAGCCATTCTGAAAATACCTATGAAGAGATCCTATGCAGAGAAAACAAAAGTGCATCGCTAATGCATATTGATAGTTCACACTGGGCTTGTTGGTTAAAGTTCTTAGACATTCATCATGGAAAATAATCATGATGCAAGGAATGTCTGAGAAGGTGAATAATACTCAAAGAAATAAATGAAATGTTAGGACTGTAAAGATTTAGCTCTGGGATCCATTTTGACTTAATTTGTGTTTATAAGAAACATTCTTATAAAAGGAAGAGAGTTTCTAAAATGCTTGTAGAGCTCATTAAAGATTTGGTACGGCGGCTCATATTTCAGAGAGGTGCATTGTGAGCAGAAGGATGGTCCCTAGACAAATAACAAAGCTATTAGGCATCTTACCGGCCCCTCAGTGTGGCCATTTGAATCCATTTGAGAGTATAAACCTGGGGGAATATGATGGATAGGGCTGTGCTGCTGAGTGGGCCAAACATTAGCAGATGGGAAAAGGTCCTCATCATTATGTATGTGTATATAATGAATGGCAATCAGCCTGGAGATCGGAAAATCTGCCAAAACATATAAATTGTTTCAGTTTACATCTTTTAATATTCAGAGAGTGATTTTGTCAGATTTCTTTGATGGTCAAATCTAAATCAACTGCGCAGAGTGGCCGTGGTCCTCGTTCTGTAGCTTGAGTCCTGGCTCTATAGCCCTTCCACCTCCCTCAGGTTTCTCACTTTTCTCTCACTGGGTTTTAGAGTTCTTCCTTGCCGCTGCAGTTAGACTGTAAGTGTCTAACAAAAAGGACTGTGGTGATGATCCAGGACTCTAACATTCTACAACATTTATGGACATTTATCAACCTTCATGGACATTGGTCAACTCCCCTCATGGACCAATACTTTTGTCTTCTCTATGCTTTGTGTTTGAGCTGTTTGATTCTATGATCTGTGTTGGCGATTTCAACGGTTTTGTTTAAAGGGACCTAATCTTATTTTGTTCGTATATTGTGGTATTTTTTTGTGTTAAATAAAACTCATTTTGACAGATAGTTTCACCCTTAGCAGTTTCTATCAATAATAATCATGCAAAAAGACATTCGCGGAAAAATTGCCGAGACCGGAAGTGACGTACACATGGGTGTCATTGGGCTTTGTTGATATGCATTTGTAAGCCATAACGTTGTATACGGACGTTTTAAACAGATATTTTTAATTCAGTGATGGACAATACAAGCCAGGGGCTTTTATTTATGAGCCCTTGCGTACTTGTTATGACAGTAATTATGATTTTGAGGACTCTGACTCGGTTCAGATGAGGGGCAATCTGCAAGAAATGGACATTTGCGGACATTAGGGCCGTTTCCATGGGCTGGAGTATGAATCTATGGTCCGACCGGGTCCGACCAGTCTCGACCCGGTTTGCGGATGCGGTCAGTTTGAGCTTGATGGTCCACCCGAGTGAGTGTAAATAGATTAAGTGTTAGCGAAGGTAGCGCTAGGGATGAAGGAGTACACCAGGGACATCGTAGTGCAGAGAAAAGTTTAGAAGCGTAAAAGTGACTACCGTGAAATGAAAGATCCCAGCTGTAAAAGTGACTGAACTGAAAAGTCTGGAGGTGTTTTGACAAGATGGATTGACGCTATTTTTACGGACATCAGCTAAAAAGCTCACACCAGCTAACACGTCAATACCCGCAACTCAGAAGCCTCAACTCTATGTCCCAGCTCCAGATGTTGAGTTTGAGAGAAATGGTGAGTGTCTTCAATCAAATGCAAACATGTAGTGTTGTGGTCTTATTCTGAATGTGTGTCTGTGGTTCTAAAGTCTTATTCTGAACATGTGTCTGTGGTTTCAATGTCTGATATAAACGTGTGTCTGTGGTTCTAAAGTCTTATACTGAACATGTGTGTGTGGTTCTAAAGTCTTATACTGAATGTGTGTCTGTGGTTCTAAAGTCTTATTCTGAACATGTGTCTGTGGTTCCAATGTCTGATATAAACGTGTGTCTGTGGTTCTAAAGTCTTATTCTGAACATGTGTGTGTGGTTCTAAAGTCTTATACTGAATGTGTGTCTGTGGTTCTAAAGTCTTATACTGAACATGTGTCTGTGGTTCTAAAGTCTAAAGCATGATGGTATGTGTCATATCTATATCTTTTACTAAACGTAGTTAAAGTGAAACATGGATTCATGGTTCAATGACAGTTGTTGTGTTTTCAGCTGAATACTGGGTTGAAACTGGCGCTGGTGTCTTCTCTCAGTGTGTTTGGACCTTCTCTGAATAAGTCAAAGATCGTAGGGACTGCAGTTTACACTCTTCTTTTTGTTACTTTCATTGCTGCATCCCGGGGCCGTACAAAATACACCCATTTTAAGGTTTATATGTGTCAAAGTGGCAGCAGGAGCAATGCCATAAACAGCGAGGCGAGAGCTGCGACCCCTACAAGTACGTCATCATTTTTCTGGCCAATCCGAGGCGTTGATATTAAAAGGTTATTTTACTGATTTATTACTATAACACAAAAACACATTGCAAAGGTGGGAAATACATGCTTTTAATGTGTTTTATCCGGAAAAAAAATAGTTTTTAATAACGTTAGTGCCCTTTTAAGTCCTCTGCGATAACTACTGACGTGATTTAAGGCACCCCCGACCCAGAAATGGATTAAGGGGAAGAAAATGGATGGATGGAAGAATACCTTACATTGAATTGAATTGGATTGATGGATTAATCAACACATTTTTGTAACGCCCACAATGACAACAGCAGTCATCTCAAAAGGACGTCATAGAAATTGTGAGTTTGCCAACAGCAGATTAGAAAATCAAACAACAAGCAAATGGTGTTCTAAATGACATGACAGAAATACAGATTTTCAAGGCACGCATGCACAATTCCAAAGAGAGTACAATAAACAGCTGGAGTAGTGTTGTGGACATTTTTTGTTGTTGAGCTGTACAGATTGGACATTAAAATCAAATAAAAAACACAGAGGCCTGTTGCTGGAAGTTGGTTTGGTTTAGTGTAAGTTCAGGTTTACTTTGACAGTGTTTCCTGATGCTGAAAAGAGATTAGGTTCAGTTCACCGTTTAAGTAACCCAGTTTGGATTTCACCATGTTTGTTAAAACACAAGTCAGAGTTGCCTACACTGCTATATAGAAATTCATCAAGTGACATCACTCCTGCAGCGTTGGACTCACCTGAGGAGAATTTCTCTCCCAGCGACACCTTACTTCCTCTGGGAAACGCTTCCTTCTTTTTCCAGTAGCTGTCAGACTCCGCCCCTTCTCCAGACTCCACCAGCTCCTCCTCACCTGCCCCTGAAGGAGAAATCCCAATCATTAGGGCGGCACGGTGGCTGAGTGGATAGCACTCTCGCCTCTCAGCAAGAAGGTCCTGGGTTCGAATCCCGGTTGGACCAGGGCCTTTCTGAGTGGAGTTTGTATGTTCTCCCCGTGTCTGCGTAGGTTTCCTCCGGGTGCTCCGGTTTCCCCTACCACTAAAAATATGTACAATAGGTCTGGCATGTGCCTCCTGTACTGGCACCCCCAATCCCAAAAAAATAATAAAAAAATTAAACAATTGTAAACCGCTTTGAGACTCCGATGTGCAGTGAATAGGCGGTATATAAATAAAGCTTACTTGCTTACTTACATTACGCACCTGAACAGATTTTGACCACAAACAAAGATAGCAGCTGTTTATACGTGCACATAAAAGGCACAAGAGGATCCATGTCTTTTTGTGGACAAAACAGAAGAAGGAAGTGAGAAGATGCAATCTGGCATTTCTTGGTAGGCTCAAGGCTATTGAATGTCGCCAGGGCTCAAGATGACTATCTCCGTTTTAATATTCACTACTGTGAAGATTGTATCTTTCATTCCTTTAGTAATATTAATAAAAAGTCAAAATGTATTTAGTGATACCAAAAAGACAAGTCAAATCCCACATCCTATGACAATTTCAATTTCTCACCATGTTCCCTGAAATCCCTGCAGATAATATCAGGACACTAGACACTATAACACTTGGTGCATCCTTGTACATTGGAATAAAAAGTGCTATAGTCTATAACCATCTGCCTGTACATTGTGTCAGTGGCAGGCTTCCCCTGTCCCAGAATGCAGAGAGGATGTCCCAAGCACTTCCTCTGCGTGTGTCTTTTAAAAACAGCTCATGGATTGTGTTTTGAAGCATTTCAGCACAAAGTCAGAATCCTCTTTCACTGATGTAAGATGTGTGAATGAGGACAGCTCACAGTTATGAAGTGAACTCTACTCCACCTTGTGTCATAATGTCATTTCCGGAGAAGTGCTCATTTGTTCCCCCGAAAGTGTACGACGGCTCCCTCCACAGAGCATCCAGTTCTGCCGGAGAGATGTCTGAAATCAGAAATAGAGTAAAATTAGTTTGTTTTAAAATTGATTTGTTTCATGTTGGTTCAAGCGTCTCATAATATTGATTTCTTAACAGTGACTTCTGGAGATATCTCTGTGATCCAAACTAAGGAGTCTCAAGTTTTGGCCTCGTCTTGATATTCTATTTTACTACAACCACAACTAAATCAACTGTTCTAGTTAAAACTAATAGGGATTTTTATGATTATGCCATTTTTATTATTTGAATAATGGTAATTAGAGTTGGATGAGTTTACGAGAAAAGCCAACTTCTTGGAAAAGCATACTTAATTTATTCTCAATGTTTGCATTTTTGAAAACTATTACTGTTTGTTTAAGTTCTTGTATGCAAGAATAAATTGTACAAAGCCATTCAGGGACTTGCTGGAACAAAACATTTGCACTTTTTTAATCAACTACAATAAGGTACAAAAAGTTAAAAAAATTCCAGCGCGTGCCAAAAGTTAGTAAGGGGGTTACCGTCTTTTGGTTGTAGGAAAAGCACAGTCACACACAGGGACCTCACAAGAGTAACACATTCTGGACTCAAAGAAGTGCTGATTACAGAGCGTGCCTATAGCAGGTTTGCATTTCCATCACTTTATTTTCACACAATAAAGTTCAACAATTGGAAATGTAACCGTATATCGCCATGCACTGTGCAAATACACACAAATATTATCCCATCTCAAGGCATTCAGAGCAAGACAATGGGGATCACAGGCCAGGGGAAACGATGCAACATGACACTACACAGAGCAAAGAACAGAGAATTGTTCACTTTCCAGGAATCAGTTTTGGGACAAAGTCAAAACACAACCAGGGCTTTTGTTACCTTCATGACTAAGAGTGGTACCCATTCTAGACACATGTACTCTAACAGTGGCTTATCGCATGGTGGTGGATGCACTGGGACCGACCTGTGAAGGAGGAGAGGCACACTTTGATGAGTCCACCACAACAGGAAGAGTTTAAGAGAGGTCTGCAGCAGTGCGACGCCATCCGGCCCAAGAACCGGCAACTCCCGCAAATCAATGCCATCTCATACAGCTGCTCAGTTCATCTGCCCTCTCCGCTTGCCTGCAGTCTTATCCGAGTCCGAGGCTTGGTTCAGCGTAATCCTGTCTGGTGCCGTCTCCATCTCTCTCTCCTCCCACTAGTAGCTTTCTCTCCTCAGTAGCTGCCCAGTGTGAATTCACAAAGCGCTGGATGGGATTGGCATTAGACAAAGAGAGAGAGACAGAGAGAGCGAGAGAGGGAGAGGGAACGTGGGGGGCCTCTATTCTTCATATTGTGCAGAGGCAGTTGGTACAAATATGTCCAGAATGTGTGTCGCCATGGGTAATGTGTGTGGCATCCATTGTTCAGTGATGACTAGTTGGTATATGGAGGTGTGCATAATAAATGTTTTGTCATATGAGATGAATTGATATGATTTGTTTTATTATCAAAGCATAAGAAATTCAAAGCATTCACATAAACCAGTCACATTAAGCTTCTTGTCTTGTTCAGCACTTTGAGTTTCCTTGTGTATGAACTGTGGTTTAGAAATATACTTTCCTTGCCTTTCCTCAAGATTGTACAGTTAAATTGAACAGTAAAACGACTAACACTAGTTTTCAACTACTTTTTTTTTTCTTTTCTTTTCACATATTTAGATTTAGATTTTTTTGGGCAGAAAAGTGAAAAAACCCTCACTCAGCATTTCAGCTCATGTATGCAAAAGATAACATGCTTTCTATTAAGATAAAACAGCAAGTTGTGTCTGATTTCCATCCATCCATCCATTTTCTACCCTTTAATCCATTTCTGGGTCAGGGGGGTGACAGTCAGAGATGCCACCCAAGTCTCATAGCACCAGCCCCTCACTGACCCTCTGCAGGTGGTGAGTCCACAGGAGGACGGCTGCTCTCTGAGTGTGAGCATAGCCTTGATCTTTCAGTGGGGGCTTTGGGCAAAGTTGGGTTAAGTGTCTTGCCCAAGGACACGACAGCAGTCATCAGTGGGAGTCGGTGGAGAAGGTGCAGAGGTGTCTGATTTGTTCACAAAAAAAGATTTTTTTTTGTCTAAAATGTGTCTAATTGAATTTAAAATTTCTTTTTTACTGCAAAATTTCTTTAAAAGTGTGGATTCCTTTCCAGTTAAAAATGTAAAATTTGAATATTGTGAATATTGTGGGCCTTTCTCTTGAAATCAATTCACCAGCCGTAGCTAATGCAATGTTCTGCGGTTTGCGTTTTGATGGACAAGAAAAAGATCTTACACTACACAGGTATTAAAAGATCATCATTATCTCCGCTTCACGCACCGATTAACTTTAAATCACTCATTTATAAAGCCCTCCACAACTTGGTGGAGAGCTTCCTCATGTAAAACTGAACGTACTAGAAGCCACTTTCTCCCGTTATGATCTTTGTAAACGGAAGATTCATTTAAGGGTAAACTATAGACTCATTTTTTCAAACTTTCCAGCAAAGTTTTTAATGCTGCTCTACCTGTAAAATATCATATCGTATAATACAGTGTTTCTCTTCAGGTTCGGCGAGCCACAGTTCTTGTTTTTACAGGTCATGTGTCGTAAGTTAGCGAGTAATATTTATTTTTATAGCACATTTTACAGACCAGGATCACACAAAGGGCTTTACAATGGAGGTCTATTATTCATTCACTCCAAACACGATGATAACAGACATGTGCTTTCCAAATTAATAAAATATTTAGAAGATCAAGGTTTGAAAGTGCATTGTTCCTGCTGATACCAGCTGGTGATGAGAAACCATTGGCATGAACCAGATGTGCTGCGGTTCTGAAACTTAGACATTCATAAAGAACAGGCAGGTCACAGTGCCTCTTGTTTGTTTCCTGTTTGTACCTCAGGCAAAGTTTACAGTCTTTTACAGTTTTTTTTTTAAACGTATCATTAATTTCAATGGAAAGGACTTTGTAAATGATTATCTAAGGTACACTACAGCCTCACTGATTTGCTGATGTACTGTAAGTCAATGCCACAGAGACGCACAACACAAGGTCAGAGAGCGAGCAGCAGTTTGACTCGGATCAAAGATCACATTATCAACATCTCAGAGGGCAACAAAGCCATTAGAGCAGGAGGTAGCGGCTAATGCTACTGCCTCAAGAAATATCAATAGTTAGAGTCCCACACAATGATGCCATAAAAGACACGGCCAACACCTGTGGATACACTGTTTGTAAAATGCTCTTTTGTAACCGTTTTATTTGTTTTAAGTTCAATGCTGATTCCAAGATGTATCCACTTCACTTTTATTTACATTAATTTATTTCTGTCATTAATTTTAGTCTCTTCAGGGCTCCAATACAAAAAATATTAAAAGTGTAACTTTGTACAGTATAATATTTGCTGTCCTTTATATAATCTTGAGTTGTATGAATGTCCATTTTGTATTTATTTCAATTCAATAGTTCCAAGCTCTTGGCTGTAAATGAAAGGCAGTGTGTATTTAACAGCTTAAACTCTATTGAATAAGTGAATTCAGTTAAAGTGAGAAACTTGCTAATTGTTGGCTATAAACAACACACTCACCTCAGATGACCTTATTTTTGAGCAGCAGAATGAGTTCAATGGGTTTAGTGAAAGTTTACTATTCCAGGTGGAGCTGGGAGGAGAATACTTTACTTGGAACGATCCACCGTAGTGGATGAAACACACAACAAGCAGCATCAGGCCAGTCATGAGCCAACTCTGCCGCCAGCATCATTTCATAGAAAGCAAGATTGTTTTTTTTAAACTTTGATTTCTTGTAAAAGCTATTCTCTCTCCATTATCTCTGTTCTGCTTGTTCCTTCATTGGATCCGAATCTTTCCACAACTTGAAAGCACTGCAGCCAAATAAACAAGCGTGCTTTGTGTCTAAATGGTGATAATTGAATGCGTTCATGTGTGTCTTATACGGAGCAGTCAACAGGCGACAGACTTGTCCGGGCACATCTGTAAACTGATTATCTGTGAGTGCCACAGATCACTCTAATCTAATAACACTTGTGCCGACAAAGGTCCAACATATGACCGCAGCTTAACTGGTGTTTTCTGGTGAAATGCAGTGAAGCAACATGGGATATTATTATTGAGACACAATGTTTTCCCAGTCTGAACCATAAGTGGCAAAAGTATTCCTCATTGATGCAAAATGAAAACTTAAAAGGAACAGCACAGTTACTCAGACTGCTTCAATAAAGTTATTATAAAAACAATCGAAACCTTTGTGTTTTGCTTCAGTGTTAAGCTCACACTTGGGTGCTCCTGGTGATCCATTTTACTGAGGCTCCAGCTTTAAGCAGTCACAAAATATTTGCGAATCATATTCACACATTTATATAAGTATTTCTGTATTTCAACAAATAAACTGGCTTCCCAAATGAGACTCCTGTGTTGCTCATTCTGCTTTTCTTTTGGATAAACATCTTGAGATTGTGGATATAAAAAGGTAACATGAATAGTTTGGTCGTCATGTCAGGTTATTATGTCGTGTTGACAGAAAAATATGACATACTGTGTTATTCAATATAGTACAATAGTGATTTAAATGGCACCTGAAGATAAAACACACCAAAACAAATAGTTAAAATAATATTATCTATTATCATTTGGACTAAATTAGCTTGGAGCTTGGACTAAATTAATATTTGATACTATATTTGATTTATGAATAAATATCCATCCATTTTCTACCCTTTAATCCATTTCTGGGTCAGGGGGGTGGCAATCAGAGATGCCACCCAAGTCTCATAGCACCAGCCCCTCACTGACCCTCTGCAGGTGGTGAGTCCACAGGAGGACAGCTGCTCTCTGAGTGTGAGCATAGCCTTGATCTTTCAGTGGGGGCTTTGGGCAAAGTGGGGTTAAGTGTCTTGCCCAAGGACACAACGACAGCAGTCATCAGTGGGAGTCGGTGGAGAAGGTGTAGAGGTGGGAATTGAACCCACGACCTTCTGGCCTTAAGGCCAATGCTCTACCAACTGAGCTACTGTCGCAATGAATGAATATGATGATATGAATGTGTTAAATTATGTATAACGTGCCATTGTAGTCAATATTAACCTCTCCCATAATTTGAATAATACTTGCAAATAATATCAGGCCTCAGGTTTTCACCCTGATTTGGCAACTTCTCATTTGTTTCAAGAATAATAGTGCTGTACAAATAATAAAGCGGATATATTAATAACATCCACTTTGATCCATCTGAATAAACACTTGTGTCTAAAGTTACTGTTACCAAGCAACAAGTCATGCAACATCATTGCCCCACCCCTTTATGTAGAAATAGATGTCTAATCTAATTTTACATTTATCTTTCACTCATCCAAAGTGTGCAAAGCTGCCCTCAAAGTGCTTGGTCCTGTCTGTACACGTGCAGAGTCTGTGACCGCACCAAGGACATTGTGACACTCCACAGTCCATGACAATAACATCCCACCACAGCCAGATAATAAGGAACACATGTTGTCAGCAGCGGCAGCACTGTCTGGAGTTCAAATGCTCCATGCAACAATGTCTAAAGTGCTTATCAGTGAAAACCCCGGCACATAGTTTAGAGAGTGGACTTTGAATAGCATAGTAACAGGAGACAGCAGGTTTTGGGGGACTCTAAGTTTAGCCTAACCCCATGTTATGACACTCAGATGCCAGTGTGTCTGTGCGGGTGCCCTGCGGGGAGATTCCCACATTGTGTTGCACGGCAGCATTTGTACAACCCTGAAACTGACTGTGCCGAGACGTAATTACAAATCATAAAGACAGCCTCCATCTGGAAGCCTTTTTTTAGCATAAATAGTCTATAAATATAGGGCTAGAGGACTTTCTTTTATCATAGAGAAGTTTCAAGCTTTCAAGCTTCTACTATAGTAAATCTCCATTGTGACAAATACTAAAACTACTGTAAACATGTATTAGCAGTATTCATTAAAGCTGGGGTACTTAACTTTGTATCAACTCAATAGAGAGTCTTGTACAAGTTAAATCT